GCATATTGTTGTGTGCATGTGTGCGGTGTGTATGTATGTGTGATGTGTGTATGTGTGTGGTGTGTGTATGTGTGATGTGTGATGTGTGTGGTGTGCATGTGTGGTGTGTGTATGTGTGTGGTGTGTGTATGCATGATGTGTGTATGTGCATAGTATGCTATGTGCAGAGTATATGTATGGTATGCATGTGTGTGGTATGCATATTGTTCTATGTGTGTATGTGTGATGTGTGTATGTGCACGGCATGCCATGCACGGTGTATATGTGTGGTATGCATGTGTGTGGCATGTGTGTGATGTGTATGTATGTATGCGGTACGTTGCATGTGTGGTATATGTATGCAGTATGCATATTATTGTGTGCATGTGTGTGGTGTGTATACGTGTGATGTGTGTATGTGTGTGGTGTACGAATGTGTGGTGTGTGTATGTATGTGGTGTGTATGTGTGGTGTGTGTATGTATGTGGTGTGTGTGGTGTATGTGTGATGGGAATGTGTATGGTGGAATGACAATGATCAGCTCTCACGCTCCCTGCCATTCATGCTATGATCCTTCTTACATAGGATAATAGCTCTAGACGTGGAAGGGGCAGATGAGGAAACAGGCCCAGAGAGGTGAAGTCATATGCCCTAGGTCACACAGGTAGTAAGCATCAGCGGCAGAATCTGAACCCACGTCCTCTGACTGCATGGCAGACAAGGTTCAAGCTATCGCATCAAAGAGAGGCCTCTGGCAGGAACGCGGCCCAGCACGGGTATCCGGGTATCCAAGGCCTCCCACGAACAAGACCCTTAGTCTCCTGACGAGGAGCTGCCCCCCACACCCAGGAACGCCCTCCCATCTTATCTCTGCCTCTTGGCTTCTCTGGCTTCTTTCGGGTTCCAGCTAAAATCCCATCTCCTCCAGGAAGCCTTTTCCAATCCCTCTTTAATCCCAGTGCCTTCTCTCTATTGATTATTTCTTATTTATCCCGTACTTGTATTTGTACATACTTGCTTGTTGGCTCTCTCATTAGACTGTAAGCTCCTTGAGGGCAGGGGCAGTCTTTTG